CTGCGTTTATGTGTTTTTGCCCTACACTGTACAAGATGCGAGAACAGTCTTCTATTTAGGTTTGTATGGACTTGTATGGTTTTAGCCAGAGATACCTTGCTAAAGCACAAGATGGCATTAACGTTCTGTTTGAGCAGATGAAAATTGTAACTTAATGAGAGTATGACTACCAGAAAACAAACTTTATCTTCATTGGGATTGGGGGTGAATGCTTTGGGACATTTTGCTCCGTTTTGTTTGGGTTTAGGAAATAGAATAAAATAAATTCCATTGCCAATCCTCTCAAGATACCTGAAATAAGTGCTACAAGTACCCTAGGCACATCGTTTTTCCATTTTTGAAGCATAAACTCCATAAAAACGATGCAAGCTTCGGATCTTCCAATATTTGTCTATGGCGCTGAGACCTACAGATGTCAGAGTTCCGCTCCCCGTGCAACTGATACTCGACTGCCATTGGCTCATCTACGTTCGAGGGGAGGGGCTTACCGATAAGCCAGTTCTGCTACCCACGAAGAGACCTGGGCCCGTATTCTTAAAGCTTCTAAGGCTCCTCTCAGAGAGCTCTTAATTTAGTTTAAAACTTTCTAAGTTGGAATCCTATCATAAAAGTGATTCAGGACCAATCTGAGAGCAACTCTGAGCGAGGAAAAGACAAAAACTTTCATCTTAGTGAGGAGGCGGGGCTGACCCCATTACTAAGTATGACACATTTTTTGGAAGATTGTGATTGGTTGCAACTCTTTGCACTAAGAATTTTCATGAATACGGGCCCAGGTTCCCCACTAAATATGAACCCGACAAAAATAAAGGAGCACTAATGAGGGAGCAGCATAAAGACATCTCTGTGAATAACTTCCTGCTGATGAATGTAGGTTAGAACTCCATATGGGAACCATAAACGCCAGTCAGCATGTTAGTTTATCTGGACTCTATTCAGAACAACTCATCTGCGTTCAATTTTTTAAGTTTTCTAAATGCACTGAGTGTTTTCTCTCTTTCTTTTTGTTTTTGTGTGATGCTGGTTCTCAGAACTATCAAATGGATCATCCTAATAGTTTAAGTTGGCCAGCTGTAAAACTGCTGCTGTATATTAAAATGATTCATCATGATTTTCAGATCTCTTGTCACCGGGGGTGCGGGGCAAAACTCTGAAAGGCCAAAGAACCTACAGGCTCTTTGCAGGTATGTTTGTTTTGTTTTATTCCTTTGTTATGCTGCAACCACACATTTAAGGCTACTCTTTATGGTGCAGTTGTGCATTGAGCCCTAAATTCTAAACTGTCTCTGTCAATAACAACTAAAAATCAGTAACAGCTGTGTTTTGGTCCATTCTGTAAAGCACTGAGATGATGTTACTGGTACAGTGTGACAATGCCGTCTCTGGTGCTTTAGTAATCTGGATGTTAACATGCATTTCAATGACACTAAGAATCTTTTCGCTTTCTGTTTTCTGTGATAGCTAAGAGTTTTAAAAAATGTAGTTCATCTGATAGAGTCACAGGCATAACTACATTTAAGGAAATAGGGGAAAGACAAGGAGGCTGGTTTGCTATGAGCTTCTGTACACATTGGTGATACTTAAGAATGGCCCTCAGCTACACGGTGTGGCACAACATCCCCTGGCCAGTGATTTGTCATTTGGATCTTATCCCCTGTTAGATACTAATCCTGTTTATATTAGCTTACCTGACAGGCCTATGTGCAAATACTTTTATTACGGCTTCCAGCAAGCTGTCATCAAGACGTGCACCACCATCCTTCCAGCACCTTCCTGTTGCTGACTAGTTAGGCCTTGTCTTTCTGTTCTCTGCCCCCACACACGACTCCCTGACCTGTTTAAACACACATGGCCTTCCCTTACGGGAGTTGTACTCCTTTTTCCCCACCTCCAGGAGTGAATTGTAGATTATTTTCCTTTCTGAGGGGAAAAAGTGGCTCCATTCTTGTCGGGTAGCCTGTCCAGCAACCCCTAGCAACAGTTGCCATATCAATAAATTTCCCTGAAACCTCTTTTCTGACCGTTTTCCCATGTTTGAACATCTGGTAAGTTCGGAAAATAGAGAAATTATCGTCTCTAAATTTTTCATTTAATCGCCTGTAATATAACCAGGGCTGTACGTTAACTTTTTTTTCCATATAGCACTGGTGCTACAGAGGTAGAACGTTTTGTAGCACAGGGCAAAAAGTTGTAGCACAAGTCTAAAATGTCTGTTATCATGTCTGAAAACAAACACATGGAGTTCATCCGTTTACTTTCATTTTAGACAACCAACTGTGTTTATATGTAAACCTTGTGTGTTTTTGACAGTATTAGACGCAAAATCAATCAGACGCGAAAGACAACTTAGTCCAATAATCAGGCGCTTTTTGACAGGCTCTCAGTGTGAGCGCGCTTCATGAGTACACGCTCAGAAAAAGCACATGCAGAACAGCACGTGAATTAAATGTTTAACCGGTATTCCTTTAAAGCAAATGGAAATAATGTAGTTTTGTGATTGCGCATAAGTGCAGTGTCCCGTGAGTAACTCTTACCGCTGAGCTAACACTGATGTGTATGCATGTGGCGTTGTACATTATATTGAGACGGAGGGAGGCGCCAGAACTGTCTGCAGCTGATAGAATGTGCGCTGTAGCACGATACAACGATATTTCTTCAAAAGCAGATCGTGGAGACATTTTAATCGTCCACGATCAAAAATCGTCATATCGCACACCCCTAACTACCAAGTATAATCAATCTCACACACACAAACAAGCACAAGAAATCACTTCACACTATTAAGCGGCTGTGATATGAACATGCAAAACCGTATCGCACGCATATATGTCGCACTGTACAGCCCTGATAGCATACACGATTTTTCACCTTTCCTTACTGTAAACGTTACTAACAGCCAAGAGTTTATTGCAGTAAATGTTGAACGTGTCCTGTCAAGTCTGTATTCTGCCAATTTTTTTGTGCGATTGATGTTAGAGCACCATTAATTATGTAGGGCTGGTTGTAGTTTGTACTTTTGGAGAAGAGGTTTATAAATCAATCTAAAGGTTTTTTAAGGTATTGTAGCCTGTGAAGCATGAACAGATTTTTAACATGCACTCCAGGAGCCCAAAGTTACATATTTATGTAAAAACACATGCTTTTAGGAAAGCATCAAATTCCCTGATAATGTGCAAGGGTTGTGCAATAAATGGTAATTTCATCTGTCAAGGTTTTGAATGTGGAATGGTGATTCGAGATTCCCAACAATTGTGCTTAAAGTTGCTGGTATAACCAATGAATCACTGTACTTATTACACTCACAATATATTACAATTATTTTTGCTATAATTACTATGTAGTAATGCCCTTTTTTAATGCTGTACAAATGAAATGCTTTTAATCAAATTTTCTCTATTTGGGACTCTGTAGATGAAAAACAGATGATTCATAAGTCTTGCATAATGTGAAGCTGTTTTGCATTGATGCCAAACTTGAGTCAAAAACTACAGTCAAACACAAGGGGGAAAAAAGTCAGAAATGTGACTAATCCAGTCTGGATTCATTATTCAAAAAGGCAACATATGCACACCTGTGACCGCATGAGTTGAATTGTGTAATGCTAGAGGTTGCGACATCGTTTAGCTACTGTAAACTGCTAAACTCCACAAACTTCTGCCGCCTAATGAGTTGTTTTGGACATATCTGGCACTGTATTTTTACGTAGCTGCGCAAAAATATCTACCACGCTGTAGGAGTGACGGCAAAATCTATTGGTTGATACAATCTGCTGGAAATTTGAGTAGAAATTCGTTTTTTGTTTTTTTACATGTTGAATTCTTTGTTTTTTTTCCCTCAGTCGTTTATCACCATGGGAACAGTGCCACCGGTGGCCACTACACTACAGATGTCTTCCACATCGGTCTGAACGGCTGGCTGCGCATTGATGACCAGGCGGTGAAGATCATTAATCAGCATCAGGTGGTGAAGCAGACTGCAGAGCGCACTGCCTACCTGCTGTACTACCGTCGTGTGGACCTGCTGTAGAAACCATACTCATACACACAAACAAACGCACACAGATGTACATTCAAACACACGTTTACATGCAGACTCTCTCTCTCACACACACACACACACACACACACACACACATCCAACGTATCTAAAGACTTTTCTGTAATAGTGTTTTCCCCCTTTGCACACGGCCTCATGCAGGTCTGGAGAAGCTGAGGGGAGAAATGTTAGCACTGCAGAACGCTCCAGTTCGGAGAGACAGACCTGAATCACTGCAAACGTCCACAGCCTCATGTTGACTGGCCAGAGAGGATCCCGGCTGAAAGAACTCAAACCAGTTAAGGCTGATGGACTGCTGGAGAAAATCTTTTTTTTTTTCTTCTTTTTTTGTTTAATCTACTTTTTTAAATGGCATAGGAAAAAATATGTAGTGTTTTGCCTTTTAGCAAGAAGAGATGTCGGCCTAATTTGCAGCAGTTAAGTGGAGCCTGTTAAATTCTTGACTAGAGCATCAAAGTGTCCCAACACCAGCAAGCTACCAAAATTTGTATAGATTTCAATGTAGGAGTTTGTCGACTCCACAAGCAAGACACGTCAACTCCACCACCACAACCTCTTCTCTCCCCCATTTCTCTCCCAATCCTGATGCTTCAGATCTAGATTTCACTTGAGTCATGGGAAAAAACAAAGATAGCGGGTGGGAGAAAGGGTGCTGCAGTGTGCTGAAATAGTAAAAAGCAAAACAAGAAAAAAAAAAAAACTAAAATTGGCTTCTTGGCTTGAGAGAGCTACAGTGTGATTTTTGGGTGTAGGATTAGAATGACTATCTTACTATTTTAATGCGCTTTAGGATATAAATGATTACAAAAGCTTTGTGCACGTAAAAAAAAAACAAAAAAAACCGGTCGATTAAAAAAGGCAGATGTGTCGTTTGCGCATTTTTTGCAGATATTTAAGTTTTAAAATTATTAAATGCAAAAATCTGAATCTTGGCGGCCGTCACCGTAATCAGCTCCCTGGGGGGGTTGTGCTTGTTCTTTAGGCTTTTTGTGTACTTTCATGCTGGCGAGATACCAGAGATGTCCCAAGACTCCATCATGAACATTGACTCGTGTTTATTTTATTTTTTTGTTCCCTCTCGCCATCTTTCATTAGTTCTGTTCGGTCTTTTCCTGTATCATATCAGTAAAGTGTATCCGCTGTCCACTGGCTGCCTTTTGATGTCAGTAGAGCAGCAAGAACTGAACCACTCCTGCCAAGATTCGAGAGGGAGCTGTGTTGAGATACATCTGGTCTGCATCTCATTCTGTATGTTAGCCCGCTCCGAGCAGTCAGCCTGTGATGTACATGTTGAGGCTCCGTGTGCAGCTCTGAGGATAATATCTCAGAATGGATAGCAAGAAATGTCTCTTACTGAAGTTAATTTGCTGTGTTGCACGAGGTGAGATCAGCTTTGTCTGATTAAGTGCAACCGCAGATGAGCACAAACAGCAAATTATGTTTGCGTCTGTTTTAGAGACATTGCATCATCAATATTATACCTGATTGTATTTTTATTTTTTTTTATCCAGTTTTTCTTCATTCCCCATTCACATAGTTTCTGTTCCATTTAAATTGATATTTTGAAAGGAAATGACCCAAGGTTAAAGCACAACAATGAATAAAGTTATAAGTACTATGCTTGACCTTATTTATTTCATTTAGTTTTTTTATTTATTTATTTTTTTTATTTAAAGGGGTCATATGATGCTGCTAAAAAGAACATTAATTTGTGTATTTGGTGTAATGAAATGCGTTTATGCGGTTTAAGGTTTCAAAAACGCATTATTTTCCACATACTGTACATTATTGTTTCTCCTCTATGCCCCGCCTTTCTGAAACGCGTCGATTTTTACAAACCTCATTGGTCTGAAAAGCGAGGTATGCTCTGATTGGCCAGCTATCCAGAGCGTTGTGATTGACCGAATACCTCAAGCGTGTGACGGAAATGTTACGCCCTTGGGGGTGTGTTAGAACGAGCCGTTTTAGGTAGGTGTGGCTGACTCTTAACTTTTATAAAGAATATCTCTTTAGATTTGAGACTTTAGTCTTTGCAACTTTACAGATCTTCTTTATGCACCAAGAGCTTGTAACACTCCAAAGAGAAAGGAAAAATTGAAATCGCATCATATGACCCCTTTAAATTCAATTTTCCACATAATAAAAGTATCACTGACATGAAGTTATTTTGATTTAATAACTAACACAGTAACATTGCTCTACTTTTCTAGGCCCAGAAATGATAGATTTTTGGCATTTTCTGCACTCACTTTGGTGGAAAATCTGGTTTCAGCTGAAATTACTGCAGTTTGTTGGTAGTTCAAATAATCATCAAATGAGCTAAATAAAAGCGGTTTGAATGATGAGTGTTTGAAAACTCTGCACTCATTCTTGTCCATTAACCTCTTACTGAATATACCTCTAATAACAAATAACTTTTTGGGAATGCTTCAGGCTTAACACTTGGTATATCCAATCTTTACACAAGTGATACGTGCATTTTAGCCCCTCACAAATGCGAACACTTTTTGTTGTTGGCGATTGTAGAAAGTCAACACGTCGCTTCCAGGAACAGATCCTTTGAGCTGAGCTCTTCACACACTCCTGCCTCAGACCACAGGTTAGGCTGGTGTGAACTCATCTTTCCACTCTAGAAATGCATAGCATGAATTTCACATCCATCTGAATGAGCTTATTTTATCCCAGCTACACGAGCACAGTCAGAATCTTCCCTCGAATCCATGTAATCCCAGTTTCTTGCCATTTGAAATGTCAGATTTCATTGTGTACATATTGTCGGTTTTTCCTTTCAATTGCTTGATTACAGTTGCCAAGTCATGTTTTACCGTGTCACCTTTTGAACTTCTTGAATTTGGTTTATTTGAACCTACAGAAGGACACAAGGAACGCATCCCCCATGTGAAACCAAAGGATACAGAACTTCTATATAAACAGACGCTGTTGCCTCGTATGATTGCTAGAAGATAAAATGTACAAATTAAGTTTGTTTTTTTTTCCCCAACCTCTCAAACTTTGATGTCTTCATATGCACCGTTCAAGAACTTGACCTGATTTCAGTTGACATGCTGATTCGTCACCAGAAGAAGCTTTTGGAAAAATCACCACTCTTCCTGACTGTTGGTTTTAATGTGTTGACGCCTACTTGGTCACATCTGATGTGCTCATCTTGTCTTGTTTGTTTCTCTTGCTGTGTCTCATCCTTGGCCTCCAGCCTTCTACTTTTGTCAACTGTTCAAATAAAAAATAAATTGTGGCAAGCTTTATTTCTATAGCAGATTCAAGTCTGAAGCCTTTCGAATGAGGCTGTGCAAACAATGTAGTCTACTCCGTCGCATTTTGGCCCCCTCTCTTGAGGAATGTGCAGCGTTAACATGAGCAAACATGAAATAAAAAGAAACCGATCCTTGCAATTCCTCCTTAGCGTGTATTGTAAACTAACCAAAGTAGGTTGAATTTCAAAATTGCTTTTCTTTGTCCTATTCCACATTTTTGCCATAGTTCTTATGTTCTCTGTCTGACTGTGCTGCATGCACTTGTGGCTCAGTTGGCTGCCTGTTCTTCCAGTGTGCACTTTCTGGTTTACGTGGCCTCACTGTTTGTCTTGTAAAGGCCGTCTCATCACTTGTAGGAAAAGAGCTTCCCCCGCTTCATGCTTCTCCACACAGGTTTGGTCCTTGCTTTCAAATGGGGAATTTTCTTTGTTAATATCATAATACGGTTTAAGTTCTGGTACAGGAGATGCAGTCTAGGGTTGGAGTGGATGATCATAGCCAGAATATGTATGGAAAGTGAACCGATATCCTGGCACTGATCTTTTGTTGTAAAGGTTACATTTGTGTTTAAAATAAGTTACCCAAAATGTAGGCGATGTAACTACACTATATCAGATTCACTGCATTAGATGATAATACGAACCAAGTGGTAGTGTCACAAATGGCTCATACACTTAAAGCTTAAGTGTGTGTGTATTTATATATATATATATATATATATATATATATATATATATATTTAATATACGTAAACACTTATTTTATACAATAATTTTTTTAAAATAATGATTTAAGATATGTACAATTGCATGTATAACAGTGTGAGGAAAATATGCTATTAGTTTTTACTTGTTCACACCGCAATGAGATTTTGTAGAAATCATAAAATGTATTCCTTGATCATATGAAACCAACATGAATACTGCACAAAGAGTGCATTTCTAGGAACTTGGCATGTTTAAACTACCTTTGTAAAAGATTTCCCCATTTTATTATTGTGGACACTCTTATGTCGTAACTTCAGGATAGGCCACTCAGTATTTCTGACCCACCCCACAGGTGTCCTAGTTCATTGATTGGTAAAGGCAGGGAGCTTGTGTTTGATTGACATCAGTGCACTCCAGCGCACAGCTGCTGGTCATTCAGCTGAACTCTCGGTTGTCCTCATACATTTTTTGAAAAGAGAGCAATTAAAAGGAAACCTTTTGCTTTGGTAGATTAGCAGTACAAGACTAAATCTACTTTTGCCTGATTTAAGATTGCATAGTGCACCCTTATATTTTCATTATATATATATATATATATATATATATATATATGTATGTATAATTAATATACGCACCCCTTTTTAATAGTTTGGAGTCGGTATAAGATTAAGTTTTTGAAAGAAGTGTTATGCTATTTGAACAAAACAGTCAAAACCATAATATTGTGAAATAACACTTTCAACAATAATGATTCTTTATTGGAATATATTTTAAGATGTAATTTATGAAATGGTAAAGCTGAATTTTCAGCATCATTACACCAGCCTTCAGTGTCACGTGATCTTTCAGATATCAGTCTAATATGCTGATTTGGAACATGTTGATATTTCTAATATTTTTGGTGAAACGTGATTTTCTATGAGGAATAAAAATAGGACGCTTAAAAGAACATTTATTTGAAAGAGAAATCTATTGTTATGTTGTAAATGTATTCATTGTTGCATTTGATCAATTTAATAATAATTTATCTAAGGAATATATATATATATATATATATATATGTATATATTTCTTACCCCAAACACACGCACACATATTTGTATGTGTGTAGGCCTATATGTTTTTCAATCCAGGTGTGGACTTAAACCTGAATACACCAATTCATGTGGACTATGTATGTATGGGAAATGTCTTAAAGGAAACAGGAAGATGGCTTTTTTTCATCTGCCCTTTTTATTTATTTATTTTTATGACCATTACTCAATGTCTCAGGTGTGAGTTATGATTTCCTACGTGCTGTTTCGAGGCAAGGGATATTAGAGGGAGCAACATTTAGATATGAATGGTTCAGAAAAGATTAGCTCAGATCTAACACGCATAAACTAAAAGCCTCAAAACCTTGTCTTTGATTTCATTGGGGGCCTTAAAAACATTGCTTTGTAACTTGAAGACCCACCATCACTGTTTGTGACATTGGGTTCTTCTGATTGTCTTATGATTATATAGTATTACTTCATGATTATCTTGGCTGCGTGAACAGACCTTAAAAAAATTCTGTTTAGGAAAGAGGAAAGATCTTTTACAAGTTCTTACAACAATAAATTGTCTTGGTGCAGCTGACCATCCCGTAATTAGCATTTGACATGGAGCAGTTCCTCTTTCCCCGTCCAGGGTTGGCACTAAGTCCGACTCAAACAAACTGCTGTAGGCATTGAGTCTGG